TTATAATTATATAAAATATATAAGAGCTTTATATACTTAAGTATATAGCAGCCTTAATAGTATAGTATATTATTTCGTATTACTCTAATTGAATTATCTTTAAATAGTAGTGATTCCGTTGCAAAGGCTATAAAGTATACTCTCTGAGAATTATATATATAATGGAGGGATAATAGTGGCGCGATAGCGTCTCAGGGTTCGTTAGAAACTCAATCAAGATCGAGTAATGGTAAAGTCGGACATCACGGATCAATACTGATCCGGCATGCTTCGGCTGTTAGTCGGACACCGATATCCGGCTATTTCGACGCATTATTAACCTTCCAAACACCAGAGTCAACCATAATAAATATCAGGCCCTATAGACTTCCCGGCCTTATAGACTAGCAATATTTATATATCAGCAAAAGCCCTCTCTAGAAAACCCGATCAGTACTACCAGCCAGCCCATATATATAAGGGCAATAGTATTATATCCCCCAATCTAATACTGCCTATTTTATAGTTAATCGATCAGAAGCCTCTGTATCAGTAGCTCTATTCCCCTATTACAAACCAAGCTCTTTCTTAGCAGAATAATCAAGAAATAATTTAACCTTTTTATATATATATCTTATATACTGCTAGTACAGCCCCTATAAAGAAAGTATTATAGTTATAAGCAGAGTTTTAACTAGCTAAGTAAACTGAGTTATTTAGAATATTTTCCCTTCTACTTAATTATACTTCTACTAAAATCTCTAACTAGATAAAGATAGATATTACAGGGTTATATCTCCTAGTTATATAATTCTATATTATATAATACTTTAAAGTAGATAGAATTACTACTATAGCTACTATATAAGTACTAAGTACTATTAATATTAAGTAATTAGAAAATAATTTAATTTCTTAAGCCTTAAATACTTAAATAATATAAGCAGACTGGTAATATACTTCAGACTCTATTAAAGCACCCAGTATATTCTACCTAAAGATCTTAAACTTTACCCAGATAATAAGTTGATCTAGCTAATAGTTAGCTCAAGCTCTATAAAAGATAGCTAATATCTTACTATATCTACTAAAACAGACTATAGTAATCCAGTCTCTTTTATCTTATTCAGTATAGACTATATAATTAGGAATATAATTACAGATATAGATAGGTATTAAATTATTATTTCTATAACTAGTAAATAAGTTAAGATAGATAATTTAGTTTCTAATATAAGGGTAGTATAGTTTATAGGATCTATCTTAGATAAATCTCTATAGTTATACTTTCAGATATAAGCTAAGAGGCTATAACTATAGCCTTATAATTTACTATATTTAAATAAAGAATATAAGTCTGATTACTATATTTTACCTATATTATAGTAATAAGTATAATATTTCTATTATTCTACTATATCTAATAGAAACTTAGAGGCTAGAGTTTTTATAAGTATAAAACCCAGGCTATAGTAATTACCGAATTATAACTAGGGGCTTACTAATAGAGCTTTATTTCCTAATAGGGTTACTAAATATTACTTCTCCTGTTCTATATAACTGCTCTAGTAGATAGTAATACTCTTAAAGTCTTATAATATTTATTAAAAAGAAGCTTCTCTAAAATATCTATTAGCCTGCTTTTACCTCTTACTAATACCTTAGTTCTTTCTATTAATCAGCTTATTATTTATTAAAACTAAAAACTAGATTATATTATTATATAATAGTTAGATAACTTATACTAAACAGGGTCTAGAGTAGATCAGAGTTAAACTAATTAGAGTATTATTCTGAGTAGTATAATTAGATTATTATAAGCTATATAATATAAGTTACTATTAATATATAAGTATTATAGAGCTAGTAATAATAAATATATAGATAATATTACTATAGGACTATAACTATATTAATAACTATCTAAAGAAGTATTCTAATTAATAAAATAAAGTATATATATACTAGATAGCTTATAGAGGCTTACTAATAATCCTGAGTAAGTTAGATTAAGAATTATATAAGCTTACTAGTAATCTAAAGTAATTCTCTTTCTATTAGGTAAAAAAATATAGGGTAAGAGTATATAATACTAGGGGTATTCTTTATTTATAATATATTACTCCCCTTTTATTAGTTTTATTCTAAAACTAAGTTTTATAGTCTAGTATTTAGTAAGTAATTTTTTTATTTTTTAATTATTTTATATATTATTAATAATATTATAGTTTATATCTAAGAAATTATAATAATATAAGGTTTTTATATTATTAATTAAGAAAATAGGTATTAAGATAATATCTTACTCTAATTATTTTAAGTATAAGAAGATATATTATATAATTAAATTATTATTATATTATAGTAAATATATCTATATTAGTTAGTCTTATAATAGTATTAAAGTAGTATTATAGTATATATATCTTATTCTCTTCTATATCCTTTCTCTATACTAATCTTTTATTTATAGTAAAATAATTAGTTATAGAGAAGTATTATCTTAATACTAAGCTAGCCTCCTCTAAGTCTATTCTTTAAGAAGCTTTAGTAAGGGTATTATATCTTTATTACTAATACTAAATAGCTTAGGAAAATTCTTAATATTTATTCTATTAAGGGATTTAGAATCTAAATAAGTAGAATAGGATTTAGTCTTAAGAGAAGTCTATTTTAGATAAGTAATAGATTATAAGTATAATATAATCCTTAGATACTATAGGAATTATTAACTAGATTTTAATTTTACTAGAGTTCTCTAATTCTTCTCTTTTTCCTATTAATAGAACTATTAAATAAATTAGTAATAGTTCTTTAGATATTTAACTAGTTTCTATATATTATTTTCTTTATTATAATCTTTCTATTTAACTAGATAAAAGATTTATCTATTTCTAATTTCTTTTTTTAAAATTCTTTCTAATTTAAATTTTTCTTTATAGACTTTAATTAGATAATCTTAATTTAATATATTTTTTAATACTTTTTTAAGTAATAAGATATAAAAAATTAGATAGATATATATTATATCTAGTAGTAAAAGTTTATAATTAATATCTGATTTTTTCTTAAGAATTTTAAATAGTCTGAGTTTTTTATAGTTTAATTTATTATTTAGTTTTATTATTATAATATTTTTATAAAGTAGATAGATCTTATCTCTTTTCTTTAAGATTAGTCTTTCTAATCTAGTTTTATTATAATATTTTTTTATTCTTTATTAGATAAATTTAAATTCTATCTTTATTTCTATATATAATAAATATAATATTTCTTTTATAAGTATAATAACTAGTATATTAGATCTATTAAATTCTAATTAGTTTTAAAATTATAATTTATAACTATAATTTATATATATAGATATAAGCTAGATAGATTTTTATACTAAACTATTATAAGTAATCTATACTATTAGTAATAATTATATCTAATTATTTTACTTATAATTAATATATATTTATAAGTACTATTTCAGAGTCTAATTTAATTATTCTATTTAATTATTACTTTATAAATAATAAACTATTAAAAGCTTATATTTAGTATTTATTTATACTATAAATAATTATTAAAATTTAGAAGTAAATATTATTCCTCTATTTAATATAATTTTATTAGGTAATCTATAATAACTAACTATATATTATAAAAACTAATATATAAGGTTTTCTATAGAGCTTACTTTCTTATATAGAATAAAATATCTATATTTTATAAGTTTATTAATTATTACTAGGATACTATTATATTCTATTCTAATTATAAGTTCTTTTAATAAATCGTAGTCCTCCCACGACAGAAGAAGTGACTTGTCAGGTAGCTGCAGAGTTCGGCCATAGAGGGTTCGCCAGCTAGTAGCTTCCTTCTTAGGCTTAAAAATAGCATTGTTGTTAAAGTTGGACCAAGGCTTCACGGCTCTTGGTGCCAGTGAAGCTGCGAGACTCGTGGCAGTGAGAACCGCGGTCGCGAATAGGCGGCTGAATATCATTGCGAAAGATGAATAGATAGCCAGAAGAGAGTGATTGGTTTGCTTGATGGCTCTTGGAGAGTGATGTTTACTGAGACAGAGGCCGGGGAAGCCATATTTATAGACATTTCCATGGTGTCATGGCCACATCTTGCAGCGACAACGAAAAGGTCGTTAAGGGTAGTGAGCAGCAGAGACAGCCAACAGCTTTCCTGTGCCCATGGAGTGCTCGGCTGATCTGAGACTGAAAATTCTGTTATTGCGGGGTCTAGCAAAGAGTAAGTTTACAGTAGTTTGCCGAAACAGGAAAATCGTTTGGGAACGATAAATAAAGTAATATCAATACGATATTGCTTAGGCACGAGCACCACCTCTTGCTATCTGAATGTTGGTACATTAAAAATCAAAGCGTCAAGTTTACGTCTAGTTACCCCTGTGCCTCGCAGGTTTCCAATATTATCACTCAATCCAAGCGCCTTGCTGTTAAGGCTAGGCCTAGTGCCATGACATGGAGGAGCAATGCGGCATCCTAGCCAATTGGCATTTTCCATTTCCGATGCGGGGGATAGAGCTGCTACTCAGTGCAGCCATAGATGAAGATCGTGACCTCGGGAGAAGAAATATGCGGAACCACTGCGGGGCGAATAATGTGTTTGGCATACCATCTGCCGAGTAAGGGTTGTCTCTAACCCATGATTAATAGACTACTGTCGTGCCTCGTGCGATTGAACACGTATCACACAGTTCCCCTTCGACGCCCATAGACATTGATTAACCATTGGTGCGCAAGTTACTCCATGAAGTCGCTTCTTGCCCCTGGTGATACTAAAGCTGGTTAGTTACTCTTACTCCAGATAACCACATCAGACTCCTCCCCCATGCTGTGGTGAGGGGCAATCGGCGTAAAAGCCAATCAGAGACTACTATTTCCGATGGCGGGGGGGAATGCGGGCAAAGCTCAAAGTTGAACCCGATGTTGTATTCCGCCCCCCTGCTGCCCCCTAGATTATTCCAATTCTTTAAACAGAAAGACCACTACTCACTCAATACGATGAAGCCCCTCAAAGCGTGCCATGAGTGCCGAAGAAGTAAGCGGAAATGCACCCGCCGAAGCGGCCAAGTCGGAGACTCGTGCGATCACTGCCAAGTCAGGAATCTGAAGTGCACAGCTTCCTTGGCCAATGTCCCGCCCCGAGGCCATGCCCTGCTGCCAAATTTGAATCCCCGACCGCATCAGGAGAATTCGATCGACGTATCTGTTGACGTCGCTGCTCGCCTTATTGATTACTACCTCACCAAGCTTCACAATCGACCTCATAGTTTGTTCCACCCAACTACCCTAAAGAAACAGGTACGAGACGGCTCTATCAATAAGGCTCTACTGCTCTCTATTTGTAGTATGGGAGCCAGATTCGACACGGATGACGAGATTCGCTCTCTGGAAAATACCTATAGTAACGAGTCTAAGCGATTGCTTTTGGCTGATTTGGAGAACATTTGTATCGAGAATGTGCAGACATGTATCCTGATTGCTAATTTCTACGCTGCCCATCTAAACCCGTCTTCTGAAGCCCTATTCTTCCGTAAGCGGTATCAAAAGAACATTCCATTATGCCAGAAACTTACCCTTCACAGGTATCGGCGTCAACTTGTTGCAAGTCATGGATGTTGGGACTTCTTCAGCGGCCAGGACATTGATAGATCGCGAGATAAGGATAAGGACGTGGTGGACGCTATACATGGCTGATCGCTGGTCATCCTCTAGTCTTGGACTGGCACCTCAGATCCGAGACTCCGATATTGCTGTTGATCTTCCAATGCATGAGCCTATCTTTGAGTCTCTCTCTCCAGACGAGACTAAACTGAACGTCTCCTGGCAGCCGGGACTTTGGGCGCACAAGATTTCTCTTGTTCGCCTGTTTGGACCGATTAAGGATCTCAACCATCGCAGTGTCTATGGAAACATCGATCAAGACGAGATTGAATCGACTGTTATGTCCCTCTCTAAATTGCTAGATGATTGGGAATGGACAATCCCTCCGAACGTCAGGATGAGTATAGAGAATCTTGAGCGATATATCACAGTTGGTCAGGGGGGCGCCTTCATAGCTCTCCATTTGGGGTATCATCACTACGCGACGCTGCTATACTTTCGCTTCCTCGAGCCCGCGGCATCATCATCGCCTCTAGCGGCGATATACCGTGCTAAATGCAAGTTCCACGCTTCATCATACAGCGATCTTGTGAAATTAGCTCGTCAGAAAGAAAACTGCGAAGTCATTTACCCAACTGTCGGCCACATGGCGGTAGTATCATCTTCGGTCCTGCTCCATACACTTCTGTTCAGCGTGGAAGAGGATGTCCAACCTGCACGAAATGCCCTCAAGTCTAACTTTGAGGCGATTCTGGAACTACGACGTTACTGGCCAAACACTGAGTCCATGGTACGTCGGTCCTGCGTGTGAAAGTGGATGAGACTGATGCTGAACAGATTCATCGACTTGTTACCTTTCAAAATTATTGTCTACTTTCCAACGATTACAGAACACATACACTTGACGGGTGGATGCTACGTTTCTTAATACAGTACTCCCTTCCTCTTGGTGAGAAGGAAGTTGCACCCGTAATATCGGGCATGGATCTTGATATGAACAGTTTTTCAGCTCGTACTCAAGCGGTGACTGAACAGGGTAGATACACTGCATTTGATATTGAGGACTTGGTGCTAGATGGCATAAACATGTTTGCTGTTGACGAAATTGTTAGGAATTGAGACATGTAAGATCAGAGCAGGACAAAAGAAGGAGTTTGAAAATTTGATAACTGATATACATAAAAAGAGCATTTAACAAGGACGAAAGGGTTTAGGATTCATCAGCTACTCAGAGATAGAGTAAAAGGTTACCTCAGCAATCATTGTCCTGGCTGGGACAGTAACAGAGATAGGAAAGCCGTCATAATCAGGGTCCTCATTAGGCATCATGGCAAAACTGCCACTTCTAGTCTCATCTCCATTCAAGACACGCACCACCCGTAGACGGCCTGTTTCTTCATCATCAACGGCCTTTTCCTCGGCTTTCAGGATCCCCGTGAATGTTGCATTCCGCAATGAACTCTTTGCGCTGACATGGAATCCCCATCCAATCAACAGAAACTTGCCGTGCCCCCGATGAATAACCATGCCTGCCCCTGGTCCTGGCTTTCCAAAGACGAAACATCGATCAATTGTGATGTCGAAATCTCCCCAGCTCCGCTTTACAGGGTGAGACATACTGTTCGATGAGCCATTTGGTATCTCGTCGAAGCAGAAGCCAACTGATGAGTTTGGTAGACGCTGGGCTTCAAGGACAATAGCTGACACTGACTTAAGGAGCCCGTAATGCTTGGTAAAGGGATTGTTGGCTGGCTCTACAGTGTCAACGCCAAAGGGAGCCACGCCAATCGCTGCATGGGATCCATAGGCAATCCAGATACGCCGAGCGCCATAGTCATCGCGTCGCTGTTCCGGAACGAAGAGCGGCTGGTTTCTGTGTCTATATTTCTCACAAGACCTGTCGTAATCGTTAAGATAAATATCAGGACCGAGGAAATCCAGGTTTGGCGCAAAGTGCATCCAGACATCCATGACATTGCTCACGGCACCGCCGGAAGGATAATCCCCCGGCATACCTCCCCCGCCCACGATGACTGGAAAGTCGTTGTCTGTATCGTCCCCGGCGTAGTTCATCCACATATTAGTGTAGTGCGGGATGGGATATTGTGACTTGCCAGCTCCTGCGACTTGGTTGACGTAGAGAGCGTAGTGGTATGCCATAAACAGTTCATCGGTACGTGGGCTTGATCCAAAAACGGTCTCCCAGTCGCCGCCTTCAAGTCCTTCGGGGCTGAAGTGTGCTAAGTTGTGCTTTTTTATATCGTCGTGGAGGTGTTCCCAGCTTGAAGTGAAGAATTCGACCAGGTCCCGTGGAACAGGTTGGCGAAAGGCCTGTTCTGCCAGTTCAGACCCATCTCGGGAATCGCCTAACAGGCCACTCTCATTCTCAACCTGAACCATGATCACAGTGGAGTGAGAGCGGTCCAAGTCCCGTAGATGCTTCATGAGCGCACCGAACGCCTTAGCATCAGCGTTGCGAGACTCTGGATGGAAGAGTGATAGAACATCGGCAGTTTCAAGTCGACCGCCAGCTTTGCGTAGTTTAGCTCGGGGGAATCGCTTAGCGTTCTGCTTAACCCACGGTGGCACGTATGTCGAAAGCCCTAAGTCCCTGTCAGTGCTTGTGCGCCACGGCATGAAATGGGAGAATTACCGTTTTTAAATGAGCCGAACCAGAGTAGCACAAGATGCATCGAGTGCTTTCGTGCTGCGAGAATAATCTCGTCGAGAATAGAAAAGTCAAAAGCATCTTCTTCAGGCTCTATCATCTCCCAGGTTACGCAGCCCAGCAGAGTGTTGATATTTGTATCGATCATCTTTTGCCAGACTGGCTCCATGTACTCGACCGACGTCAATGAAGAGTTTTGGAGTTCGCCCGCTCGTATGAGAAACGGGCGCCCATTGACTATGAGCTGCTTGGAATTCTCATTGCGCTGCAGATGAGGCATGTTGATGCTGAGTGATCTCATGTTGGAAGATGATTGATGTCCGGGTGAGACAATTCCAAGATGCAGTTCTATTCAAGGTGTAAGGAAATACATGCAGTAGGATGTTTGGCACAGAATAGAGTGGTAGAATGAGTGGAAAGTGGAATCTTGTCGTTACCATAGCTCAGTACTCCGCAGATCTCGAAGCATGGCAGTCCCGTGTTCTCAACCTGACCGGAATTAGACTATTGTGATTGGTTGATAAGCCGAATGGGGTCATCCAAGGTTATCGCCATACCAAATTAGGTGACTCGGAATACCAGACTTCTGAGTGGCTGCAATCCCGCTTCGCAAGAGAGCGCGTGGCATGACCATACGAGTAACAAGGGATGAAAGAAAGTAAGTATCCGGATGGGTCTAGAAATCCAGACCTGTTCAATGAAAGTGGCTGGTGTAACCCTAGATCTGAGGTAACCGAATGATGCGCCTTTTCTACTTCCCCAGGTTCAACCACATTCTATAAACTTGCCGTGTTCAAATCTCGGGGCTTTAAGAAGATGGCCTTTTCCACACATTTCAAACAATATTCACATTCAATTAGCTTCTACCTCCTTCTACAACATTAGCCTTTTCTAGGAACTTACTTGACCATCATGTCTTCCGACAAGAACGACGCGTATTCCGTCTCTCATGAAGAACAGCCTCATCTAGAAGTCCCGCATGTAACGTGGTACAATCACGGCGGTCTACGTAGTCTATACATTCGAATGCCACTTCTCATGCTATGCGCTACAATCAACGGTATTAAAAGAAACAAATTCTTCTGAGAGAAACGCAATCTAACGGATGAACTTATCAGGATATGACGGAAGTCTGCTTAACGGTTTGCAGACTATCGAGAACTGGCGAGATTGTATGTTTGATTGCTTGTTCTTTTATTACATTTCGTGTATCAAGCGAATCTAACAGTCGTGACAGACTTTGGCCATCCTTCTGGCTCCACGCTTGGCTTGTATACTGCAATCGTCAATATTGGCGCTTTTAGTGCGCTATTCTTCTGTAAGTTCCTTTACCTTGATTATTATAGTATGTGAGCCAATATATTCCGTGTAACAGCCCCTTATATTGCCGACCAGTTCGGACGCCGCATTGCAACTGCCTTGGGCTGTGTCATCCTCATAGTTGGTGTTGTTATTCAAGGTACGTCAATTTCAGGCTATCTTGGAATGGGGGCTGAATTACTATAGCGGTGCCATCTGTCAACGAGGGCATGTTTATCGGAGGTCGGTTTCTTGTCGGATTCGGATCCAACATCTCCATTGGTGCCGGGCCACTTCTGATCATGGAGCTGGCGTACCCTCAACATCGCGGACGGCTGACCGTCATGTACAACACCTTGTGGTACGTTGGATCAATCATCGCGGCATGGACGGTATTTGGGACGATTAAATACACCGGAGAAGCCTCGTGGCGTATCCCCGTTGCCCTTCAAGCTCTTATGCCAATGCTGCAATTGCTTGGGGTGTTTACCCTGCCTGAGAGTCCTCGTTGGCTTTGCTCCAAGGGCAGAAATGAAGAAGCTTTGAGTATCTTGATCAAGGTGCGTATCAGATATCCATTGTCGCTCAGATCCCTTTGTCAAGGGACTAACACAAGAATTTTAATAGTACCACGCGAACGGCGACACGAGTGACCCTTTTATTCAAGCTGAATACACAGAGATTCAAGATACCATTCAACTCGAGACTCAAGCGGCTGAGAATGGCTGGATGGTTTTCTTGCAAACCCCTGGCAATCGCAAGCGTCTACTGCTCATCGTCTTGACCTCATTCTTTTCTCAATGTTCAGGTACGGAACCTGAATGACTGTGCATCGAACAACAAAACTGATATTTACAGGGAACGGTCTCGTATCTTACTACCTCCATGATATTCTGAACTCTGTTGGAATCCAAAAGCCCTATGACCAGTCCTTATTCAACGGCGGACTTCAGATCTGGTCTTTCCTTGTAGCAATTGGTTTCTCGGTCTACTTTGTCGAAAAGTTAGGTCGCAGAATGCTCTTTCTCATTGCAGCTGTCGGTATGCTGGTGGTTTTCAGTGTGTGGACAGGGTAAAGTTCGTTAGCATAACTCAACTTTTCAAAGCGACTAATATTTTTGTAGATGTTCCGCAGTATATGCCGATACAGGTAACAAAGGTGCCGGACGAGCCGTTCTGGCAATGATCTTCCTCTTCTACGGAGTCGCTGGCTTCGCATGGCCAGGCTTGACAGTTGCCTATTGCTCTGAGATCCTCCCGTACAGTATCCGCGCTAAAGGGTTGGCCATCTGCTTAGGTGTGACGGCTCTATCCGGTGTTCTAAACCAATATGTGAACCCCATCGGCTTGGCCAAGCTAGCTTGGAAGTTTTACTTTGTCTACATTGTGATTTTGGTCATCGAGGTGGCTTGCATCTGGCTCTTGTTTGTTGAGACTAAAGGTCCGACGCTCGAGGAGATTGCTATTCTTTTTGATGGCAAGGATGCAAAGGTCTCGAAAAGGCTAACCGAAGGCAGAAAGCTAGAAACATTTGAGAAGAAGATCGAGGTTTAAGGCTATAGCAGGACTGTCTGGAATACTGGACTTGTACTAAGCGTAAGGATTATCTAGTCTAATAGCAGGACTTTTATCATTTTAAGCTAAAATTGTCCGAACTCTTATAATCAATGCTGTTTAAAAAAAAAAAAAAATCCTAGCCTTGCCTTCACCCTCAGACTTACTTAGCACCGCTTGAAACTCAATGACAACCATGTGTATGCTAAGGAATACATATATGCGCGTATACTTCGACGGAGATAGTTGATTCGTTATGTACAAAATACCCTGATGACGCTTTCCAAATATTTGTAAGCTCGCTCAGGTGTCCCAATCCAACGATTGCGCTGGTCATCGGCGAGTGACTCACCCCGCAACACGCTAGACTTTTATCGCTTGGCTTTTCGAACACCCGAGTGCCGTGAAAAATACGTGGCCGTCCACAGTTGTGGTGGGCAACCAGGCAAGTAATTCTTCACGCCGAGGGACTCTCAAATAAGCGGCGTCAGATACCGTATAAGTGAACGGCAGGGTCTTCCAAGTAACAGTGGCAGGTCCCAAGAAGGTTCATTCTCCTTCTACTTGGTTTCTCATCACCTACCACTCAACATGCCCGGCGCTTCCACCGAGCAAAGCCGCGAGGCCGTGGGCCTCTGGGACATTAACGCAGAGTTCTGGAACCAAGCGGTCGGCCTAGAGGGCAACAAGTACTGGAAGAGGCTCCAGCAGCCGTCTCTCACGCGGCTTCTCGCACCACAACTAGGAGCCCCGAGCACACCGCGGCGCGCCTTGGATCTCGCCTGTGGCAACGGTCTCTGCGCGCGATGGCTGGCGAGTCACGGAGAAACAGTCGTGGGGGAGGTCTGGGCGACCGATGGCAGCCAGGCCATGGTCGAGCAGGCTAGATCGTACGGCACGGCCAACGGCCGCATCTCGTTCGAAAAGGTGGACGTCACCATCTCTGATGACTTCGCTCAGCTTCGCGAGAAAGCAGCGGGTGTAAGAAATACCAAAGTGCAACTAGCAAGTCGTACTCAGCGCAAACTAATTTATCTGTTAATCAAACAGGGTTTCGATATAGTACTTATGAACATGGCGCTGATGGACGTGGCCGAGCTGGAGCCCCTCGCAACCGCTTTACCCACGATCTTGAACGAGGATGGCGTGTAAGTTTTGTGAACAATTTCGTGACAGTCCAGATTCCATGCGCTCTTTGTTCGCTCACTGCGTTTCGAACAAAGCTTCGTCGCTACACTGCTTCACCCCGTCTTCATGACATCTTTGTACGCGCGCAGCATCCAGTACACCATCTCGTCCGAGACGGGAAAGCAGGACATGGTTCGGGGCAAGACCATTTTCAGATACCTCAGTGCAGAGCCGTCCAAGCAGCTCATTACATCAGAGCAGGAAATTCCTCCGGTAAATTGCCACAAGAACTCGAACCAAAAATAAAAGAGAGTCCCAACTAATAGTTTCACGCGCTCAGCTGCTCTTTCATCGACCCATTCACGAGCTCCTGGCGCCATTCTTCAAGGCAGGGCTCGTCATGGATGCCCTGGAGGAGCCCAACTTCACCGAAGAAGATGCCATTGCTGATAGGCCTGAAGCTACGTCTAACTTTGTAGAGCTGCCGGCACTGATGGCTTTCCGCCTCCGACGATTTGGGTAGTGATGTTGTAATGACTGCGGAAACTAGTTGCGAGAGTTCGATTTATTAGAGCGTTCGAGGTAATCCCTACGTGCGTGGTACGTAAGGACTGCATTATGTACAGCGAGGAAAACATGGCTCTGATCACAATATAGTTAATGAGTCAAAGGATATTGCATTTCACCAGTTTTGCCAACGCATGCATATAGCTTGAATGCAACCTCAGAGGTGTATATGCTAATATCAGGTACATGTATGGGCGATCCGTCCTCACCATATAGTGCCCTGAACTAAGCCTATTCTCACGCAACACAATAAGCAGAACCTCCGGCACACCAAGTTCAATTGTAACAAGTGATAATTATTTATTTTCTATAGAGCGTGTGTTACGCCTTATCCAGCCTCAACCGGATAGGGGTCCGTTGAGGGTTTCTGCGATAGGTGGCCGGATTGTACGGTCGCCTGGATTGAAGCTGCGTATCACGAAGTAGCCCATTAGTAGTTCGCGTGGCGGAGGTGAAGCCTCAAATGGTGCGTGTTCTTCTGCTTGACATTATTAGCTTCGCTGCACTTATTGCGCTTCTGCCATAGTGTGTCGAGGCAGCATCGCCTCCAAAGGAGGAGATTGTTGTCTAGCTCTCCTCCTACTCTGATTAATATACTATTTTTGTCAGTGAATGTTTGTCACGCAGTAACGCCAAAATCATAACAAGGGTCCAATCACTCGACTCCACTCATTTAAGTCTACCCTGTACCAAGGAATCCAACCTCGAGCAGGTGACGAGGATTTCTGAGGCTCGTAGTTTGAGGGAAGCAGGGATTGGGAATGGATCTACGGATATATGTTTATTCTGCACAGTAAATTAACCGAGCTTTATTAGTATAAATAGCGTAGAGTCTGACAAGCTTGCTGATAAAGCTCAACGGACATCTTGAATATCTAGAGTTCCCATCCTGCGGTTTCCATGCTCCAACTAGGACCTAGCTTTGCACTTCCCTGTGAAAATGTTTCATTGATTACTTTGTGCCAGCTCCGCCTTTGTATGCCTCGCCACATCTGATCTAGGCATAGCTGTAGGATAGGCTGGCCGCGACCTGGACGTACTTTACATGGGACTCATAAGGTATCGACTCCCGTTAGAAGGAGATGTTCAAAATCTTCTCGTTTATTTGACTATCTAGCCTGTTTCCCTGTACTTATCTAGCGTCTCGTGCTTTGATTTCGATACTGGTCTGAAGTTGATTTTCACTTCTCATGTTGGCATCGAGCTTCGACATTGATAAAGCAGTTGCCCAATCAGAATCCCTATAATGCTCTGACATCTGTTTTTTATCTTTCTACATACGAACAGTCGGATTTTCTAGGACTTGTAGTGTTAAAAGTATTATTGATAGTTCTCGAATATGAAGATCAAGTTTATTTATAATATCATAACGTCTAACATTCAGTGTGAGTATGGATTGTCCTTCTTGCTTCCTATTCTGTATAGTTACTAGGATAGAACCAATTATTTGCTCGTCATGTGAGACAACAAGTTGTTGGCGGCCAGAAATTCATCCCAGGTTGTCAATTTCAGTCCAGGCAGCTAGAGGAGTTCTAACGTTAGAGGCTGTGACGCGCCTGGTGAGGTCTTAAGGGCCTGTACTAATAAGCTTACCTGATTCGCTTGGACGAACTCGGAACGTTTATAAATGTTGCCGAAGTCACGAAAGATCAGCAGCTGCTCAGTGAAGTCTAAAGCAGTAACATCATCCATCTTGTGCTTCTTAAGGGAGGTTTGAAACTCTTCCGGTGACATCAATTCGTAGCGTATGTTGATGTTGTAGGCTGTGGAAAGTTAGAATCCATATGTTGAAATCATATTCTTGGATGCAAAGGGATTCCAATTCCAAATGACAACGTAGACGGGATATATATGACGCTCACCAGATGCCAAGGACTGGATCTTCTTCCCCTCCGAAATGGATTGGGAGTAAAAGGCGATTGTCTTCTCAAGGCAAAGATCGGGATAGTCGAGGATATACTGGACTAATCTACCCGTGTCTGAAATTGCCACGTTGGGTAAATCCGTGTCATCAGGCAAAACAAAAGATCGAAGGTAGGTTCCATCGGCTTGCTAATTATCCTCGCCACGTCAATACGGTCCATATATATAGTCAACTTTAGATGAACACAACGAACCTTGACTGGGAGATACGTGCCCGGGTTGGTAAGGCAGTTTTCAAAGTAATTAGGAAAGAGCACTATAGTCGTCTTCTTCCACAAAGCTGGCTTCTCGATTCGAATGTATTCCGAGACAGCGGCTTTGCTCTGCCAATGATAGACGTTAGCGAAACGTCCGCTGGAAATTGCCCTTGCATCAGGCAAGCCTGCCCAAATCAGCTGCTCAAGCTCTGGCAGATTAGCAGCAATATCCATAATGGATTTGCCCTGGACTTCTTCTTCTGTCGCTGACATGGTCTGCCAAAAATCGGTCATTGCATAGATGATATGAGCGCCTTCAAAACCAGCTTGAAGGCTTTTTGGATCATTCAGGTCGGCTTGTCGCATCTCAATTCCCATTTCCAATAGGGCCTGCGCCTTTGGAGAACTTATGTTGCGACTCAAGCCGCGAATTGTATATCGGTGTGAGGCTGCAAAGAGTGTTCGGGCCACATAACCCCCCTGAAACTCAAGAAGTAAGCATTACTTTGCAACTTTTTCTGAACGTATGTTTGAATCCTCACTTGTAGACCAGTTGCTCCAAGGATAACAACCAGCTTTTTCTGACAGTCATTCGGAGCCATTGCGAGTGAAGTACACTTAGTGTGGGAGCAGGTAAGGAATGTTTAATGCTTTGAACTTGGAGCGAAGAATAATTATTTCCAAATTGCCGGAAATCACACACTCTTTATACTACTGAATCTGCCCCTGGCTTATGGAACTCCTCTCCAAAGCAAAGTCGCGACTCGCGAGAAGTCGGACTAGATTATCAATCATTGACCCACCGTGAGTCGAGTGTATTGCCCAAGTGATGGGTTAATTCGCGCTGAATCAGCGGGTATTCAAGGCTTAAAAATGAGCTTGAACGCAGTTCAGAGGCTCGCACAAGCTATAAAAGATACTGTGCTCGACTTTACCATCCCAAACACAAAATACAGTGGGGTATACCTTCCTCTTGGGCACCTACAAAACAACTGTTCATCAAGACAGACTCTAGTCTTTCAAGTCCAACATGTCCTCTCTTACATTCTACGCGGCACCTGGTTTCGGAAAACAATGTCAAGAAATGTTCGGCTTTAGTGACGCATGCATCATCGGTGACCGCATGGTGACCACTGGGCAAAGTGAGTTTAGTATTTACCTCCAATTGGCATAAAAGTCTTTCTTGACCTGACCCGTACCACCAGTCGGCGGAAATCCTTTGGACAGGGAAGCTCAGCAGTCCATGTCACTCGAAGAGGAGATTGCACAAGCTTTTAAAAATGTGAACAATGTTATCCTTACAACGCTGGAACAAGCAAAGCATCCCAAGTTTGCTATGACCAAGCAAGACAACAAGACGGGTTGGGATATTGTGGTCAAGTTGACGAGCTATCATGTAAATCTGGCCGAAAACAGCACTTTGCTGCGGGAGTTAATGGTGAAAAATATCAAATTATGGTGCCCCCGACACCAACCACTATTCACCATGGTAGGAATCGAGAGCTTGCCTTTTGCAAGCACCAACGTAGAGCTTGAGGTGGAAGTTTTCTTGGGCTAGATTGATAATGTCTTAATGATTCAAGTCAACTTGGGCCGTCTGGTCACCTTTTCAAAGACTAGGAGTGAGATGGTTTGTACCGATGTGCGCAGGAGAACACACATCTTGATTTGTACTTATTAGTAATATTCTTCGTCCATTCCACGAAGTTGGTCACAATAACATCAATGCTGCTCCATAAACTGATGTCCCCGTGACCCATTTTCTCCAGCCACTTGCAGGCTCCCCAGGCTTCTTCACTATATTAGTAGCCTGCAAAAGCTCGTATTGCATGTGTCAATAGCAGACTAAGCATCACAATCCCTGTCTCATTCTTAGATCTAATGCCGGAGGTATAGAATTACTCATCGCAAAATACAAACCCTGAACGTTGGATAAGTTATTGTGGTCGAATTCCCGCTGACTCATCGCAAAATCTTCGTCTCGAGAAAAGACCGACATCCAAGCCGTATGGCACTAAGTAACATCCAAATTCCGATTAATAATCGGAGTATACCGCTTCAGCTATAAGAAAGCTGTATCTAAGCAGAATATACCAGAAGGAAGCAATTTTTTACAGCTCGTGATCACTTATAGATCAGTTATTGTCGTACCAACTCTATTCCTTATTCCGATGCATTGTCAAGCATCTCCTGGATTCTCTGTACATTGCTGAAAACCGAAGTTTCAAAGTTATTCGAAACAAGGTTCGAAATGTCTTCTACAGTTGTTTTGATTACTGGTGCAAATCGAGGTAATGCTAGTCCCTAAAATCAATGATGCAGATCAACAGTCCAAACACCAATTCTGACGAGCTGATATTTTTTTTTTTTTAGGACTTGGACGCGGATTACTTGAGCACTACCTCTCCTTGACCAACCATATCGTCGTCGCAGCCGTTAGGAGTATTGAGCACGAAAAAAGCCGTTCGTTGGCAGAGATATCCTGTGGACACGGATCACGATTGATCCTCGTCAAAATCGATAACACTTCGGTCTCGGACGCTAGAGATGCCACAGTTACTCTTCAGCACGAATTTAACATACAGCATATCGACATTCTGATTGCAAACGCCGGCATCTGCGAGCATTTATTACCGCTGAAAGATGCCAGCTTGACCGAAATAAACCGGGTCTTAGCTGTCAACACGTGGAGCCTTTTGCGTCTTTATCAAGCGGCATTGCCAATGCACCTTAGGGCTTCTAGCCCAAAGCTTGTGTATATCTCATCAGTCTTGGGAAGTATATCATCAGCGTCGAAAGACACGGGACATACGGGGGCTTATGGTTTGTCGAAGGCGGCTGGCAACTTTTGTATTCAAAAGATTAGATCTGAGAACGATCATCTGATTGCCATGGCAATAGATCCAGGGTAAGGACCTTTTTTTTTTTTTCCTTTATATCCCCCGCTCAAATTATTTCTTGTTTCCCTCTACTCCTGTCAAGATGGAGTCGGCTAAACCGTGGTTCAAGGTTGGTACAGACTGACATGGGAAATCGAGGAGCAAAATTCGCGGGTATGCATGAAGCACCAGTTACACTGGGAGATAGCGTCCAAGGTATCGTTTATCAGGTAATGTATTGTATCATTGCAATTCCAGACTCTGGACATTATAGCTCATACTTTAACAGATAAGTACTTTCCGAGACGGCGATAAGTCAGATCAAGGATTTTTGAATTACAGGGGAAATGTGCATAAGTGGTGATGAGTGTAGAGTAGCTTTGCATTGTATTTGGGATTCATGCCATTGGCGCTTGGAATTCCTAGAGCATGGGTCGGCCATATATGAATTCGTGGACTAAAACACTTTCAGCATAATAATGACCTTGATATCATTGTCTCTAGTTACATTCATCATCCCTAATGGTTAGGTCTACACAGAGCGCTTGCATTATTTGATTAGAAGTTCAATTTCATTGAAACTCTCCGTTCCACGTAAGTTTTGACCTAAGACACACTGTGCGTAGCTTTCTGGACTGCAGCTAGTGATAATTCACCTAACGCGACCACCAGCTCGTCAAGAAATTCCAGCTGAGCTATCTCAGCAATAGTCAACGTGCGGATGGGAATTTGTCGAAGGACACGAGGAAAGTTTTGCAAAAGTTCCAAGTCTTCAGTCACCGAAACCATCAACGGATTAGAAAGCGCGCCGAAGAATATCGTAAAGATAGCTGTCAATGGATAGAATATAATAACCCTGCCAGGGAAATTTTTAGAAATCGAAATTCAGAGATCGTCGAAAGTGAAGGCGAAGGACGTTTTGAATTGTGTTATCAGGGGCCGTCACTTACCAGAAACATTCATGTGCCACCACTGGCAATGCTTTCTGTAAATATAACAACGTAGACTTTGAGGCGTCCATCATGAGACTAATATCCACATCGCGTTCTCCACTGACCCCAGTCGACATGAGCGAGGTCAATTCTAATATCCTACTCCGTGCTTGATGAATAAGAATAACACAGTGATGATACGCCAGACGAAGCATTACTGCTTGCGTATTCATATGGATATCAACGGGCGTCCTTTTCAAGAATGATAGTGTCGGACGATGATCAACAGGCAATGAAAGACGCCAATCCTCTAGCTCTTCATCCAGGCATCGGATTCTTCTCAGAATTTCCGTCTGCGGCTGCTTCGAGGCATTTACCGAGTGAAGAGCGCCACTAACCCTGGACTTGATAGTAGAAAGGCGAAGATCCCATGGATAAAGCGGTACAATAGTGCTTTCAGATACTGCTAAAATATTGGAGCCTTGAATGTTGAAACTTTGCATTTGGACATAGTCGGGCGGTAACGTCAAGTCGCAGTAATCATCATTGATAATCGGCGGCTGACCTAGCCTGTGGGCTAAATCCTTATCAAAGGAATAACAAACCCAGAAAAGATCCCGTATGTGGTGCAGGGGGATTCTTTTGTCGTATGGGTGAGAAGGTGTTGGAGGGATGTGAGCCCCAAGTCTGTATATGAGACGGGAACTCGCGGAAACGAGAATGGATGCGGATTGCAAGTCACCCATAAAATATTTATATACAGTCTATCACAATTTTGGTATTGTTAATGGCAAGTGCTTTTGTGATAAGCTTGCGCCAAGATAAAAATTTGTAAGCACCTACTAGCATCATTAAAGCTTCGAGGCCGTTGACTGTCATTTCCCGCAATATTGAGGGGAGATATGCTTCGGCTTCCAAAGCATGCTTTTGGGGGGTAACCCATCGATTTGGCGCCTCGTTGTCAGACTCGTGGCCAAAAACAGAGATCATAGCCAGCAAAGCATGCACACAAGCCCCGGCACTGTCTGCTCCGGGTTGTTCGATCCCGGTTTTTTGATAAGCAAGATCGAGCGTTCCTCCCACAAAGAGGTCATGACTCAAGACTGGAAAGATTAGAGACTGAATAGTCGAGCAAAACACGGTAGCTAAAGTCGCGACAGCCTTGCGAGCGGGAAGTTGCAAATTCCTTAAATCGTTAACTTGGATTTTCTTTGATTCAGGAGAAGAAATTGTGGTGTAACAATTTTGCCAGGGGAGTCGAAATTTGTTAATAACTGTAGGTGGTAACCTGGAGCCAGCCTTGGATTGTATCCATTCTTGACCCTCTTCGCTTAGGAGGGGAAGACCGTTTAGAAGACGTAAGCCTTCTGAATATGCCAAATTGTGCTGTCCATTAGGCTCATCTAACTCTATGCTCAGGATTTTCAGGTCAATTCCAGGACGGTTTTTTCATTGCTAAAAAAAATCAAAATAAAGACAAAGCTAGAATAGCAAGAGAAATGGAGACTTTCATCAACTCACGACAAGAAATAGCAGGATACGCGAGTGTACTCTGTTGACTCGAGATTTCTAGCTCAACCTTGTTGTTGTTTCTAAAGGCGGAAGGTTTGGATTTGCTATAACGGGTTACTTTGAGTGTTTGCAGCGAAATGAGATAATCTCTGATATAAATCATATTGAGGGTATTTTGAAAAATGCAGGACTTGCGAGGTTTACCTTGCTGTTGCCCTTATCTTCTTGGCTATTTGGTTATATGTACAGGTGAGACCATGATGGTCGCAGTAGTTACATTGTGGCACAGCTCGATCACATTGTATCTAAATCCTGGTCAGATGGAGAACAGACGGCAGTAACAGATTATAGGCTTTGCGGTAATTGGCGTGACGACATAGCTTATCGTATTTTCTTTATACGAAAAACATAGCTGCTTACTTTTTTGCGACGGCATGAATCGCATGCGTGTAGCTTTCGTCCCCTTGCCGATTGTGACATGACAGATCGATTGTGGTGTATTTATTCGTCCTAGTGGTTGTAAAAAACCGAAGTGAGTGACCTAACCAGCTATTTAATTTCGACTGACTCGCTTAGTAATATGGCCTCATTCGCTTAGGTAATAATCATTGTCTACCAGGTGGACCTTGGGGTTGAGAGAGGTCCGGTTTTCGATGTTGTATGCTCATTCAGTACTCTTTATATTGTTAGCCTGGATTCTCACAAGCGAGAGCCAACGAGGTACAGGTCTTTGCCTTGTCCGTATATCATATGATTTATACAGATCGTTGAGGATAAATGCTAATAAGATAAGTTGTAACGGATCAGGATCAGGAATTACAGGGATGTATGTATATTTTTTAGTTGTCTTACCTCTTCCGTGTCTTCCGACTGGGTCTTATCTGTAGCTATCTGAATTACTTCTAAATACAGCTAGTATAGTCATGTGATACGCCTTCCTTATGTAACGAGCTGCTTTTCATTGGAATGAGCCTTGGCTCCTTAGTCAGCTGGTATAATCTCCAGGCGACTGGTGATTAGAATGGGGTAGCAGGGTTAGCAAGTTCGGGTTAATTAAGGGTTGGAGGAGAAGAGAGGGTAATGTGGAAAATACACTACTTCTACTTCTAATACTACTTCTAATACTACTTCTTCCCTGTAGGAAAGGGACTTTCCATCCCTCTTCTTTCCCGTAGGGAAGAGATTTGCTATCCCCCTTCCTCTCCACAGGGAAGATGAAGATGTTCGCTAATCCTCCTAGAGGGTTGATAACCAGGCACTGGTAGGATCGGTAGTGTTGATACTAGGATAAGTATACCGTGTGAAGGTAAAGCTACTCAAATAAAGCCTACTCCTCGAAAGTGAGGCATACCCTATAAATTTAGTATAGTTACTTAGTGTTTGCGCGGCCTACCCAATTTCATCAGATATCATCATTGCGGTGCACGGGAATGGAAGCGATCGGAGGTTCCTACCAACTCTCTTGAGGTAGGTTAGTGGTCCAAAGAAGGACAAGTGGCTATTTATTCTGGTTTTTTCCTGTCTGCTTTCGTTCAGAGCTCCGATCGGATTTGAAGACGTAGCGGCGGTTGCACGCACTCATCATGTCTGAAACCGCTCGCCGTCTTTCATCGCGTACATTCTATGTACAATTCGACACTAACAGACCCCATGTTCAATCACTACGGTGCCCGGCCGACTCTTACGATACGAATTTTGCCATTAATTCACAACAAGCGCCCAATTTCGACGTTGGCGATTCTCGTTTTCTCGGTGATCTGATTTTGCACGCAAGGCGGACTGTTGAAACTATCAGAACGACGATGACCACTGGTTTATTGGCGGATATTCGCTCTGTAACCACCGCCGAGAACTGTATCAGAGTGCAATATCAAGGAGACTCGAAGCCTCAGGCGGCTTCCAGGGGGTTTCCGTTCTTGGAACTTGGATTCTCAACAACCCTCGTGGCAACTACCTGGATTGGACAATCGAGGATACAAATCAGACGTCTGACTCCATGGACGGCGAAGACTTGGCCTACCTTGTCCTTTAACTCATACTGGGGCAACAATAAAACAGAGAACTACGAACAACGTGTACATCGGCACTCCTTCATAGCTAAGCATGGATCCTACATCTACTGGCAGTGCTCAAATGGCGACGGGTATATACTGGCCATGCTGCCGTATCGCAACACTTCTTTGGAGTTCAGCAAACGTTTCAGAGAGAAGGAGAATCCATTTGGTGAGAACCTTCCCCACTGGGAAGGCCTGACAAAATCCACATTCACTCTAAATGCGTGGGTTCCACAAAGGCAGACATTGCGGCGCAGAATTACTCTTCGAGCTGTCTGACGTTAGCTACTGGACAGTCTCACACGTACGGTTTCAGTTTGGCGTGGGCTATCGGCTACTCAGCAGTTCGTGACACGATATACGATCTTGGAGGGCTCGACGTTGTTTCACTACCCGGAATGGTCATTCCCGCAAATTCCAGCGCAATTATCGCCTTACGTTGCAAAAGTGAAGTCATCTCTGTAGGAGAGGTCAAAAGTAAAGAAGTGAAGGTCATTCTGATGGGTTCAAATAACGGAAACCGCCTATTCCATGCTAACTTCGAGACGTTGGGAGAGCATCATGTTGAGGTGACGCTCGGTGACTCGCGCCTAGCTGTATTGCAATACTGCTGCATCAAACCTATCGATAGCTTGACCAAGCATCATTCTGCATTCCTCGTGAATCAGCAATTAGCAAAGACAACACGGGGTTTTCATGGAGCTTTCTTACGATGGAACATGGCAACTCGCAAGATCATTACATGAGATGACTATCCAGGCGGTGGTTGGAAGACATGTATGGCCGTGGATACATCTAGTCGGCGGTAAATGGTATGCCTGGTCAAGCGAGGTAGATCTCGGCTTCTGGGGGCTTTGCGAACGGCATCCGTCAACGTGGTACAGCATCTGATTGTCGGGCTGTACGCCTACGGAGGCATGTTGGAGGTTCAAGACCATCAATACGTCGTCAAACCCATCGATGGCTTACAGCGTCGACTCACACTCTATTGCCTCGAAAAAATAGCAATAGAGGTTACCAGAGCGCGATTCACGCAAGCTATAATTATCAAATACATATCACGGATCGAAATGGAGCTGCGAATTGTCATTGACGAGCCCTAACAGCCTATTGTAACTGTTTTTGGTGGTTTACTTCTCCGCGGCGCAACTTCTTGAAGACCAAAAGACCAAAAATAAGCAGCTTATGTCATTACTCATCTATATCGGCATTTACTTTACCGCTAGCCCAAATCAGCGAAGAACCCGAATCAAAATTGTCTAACCCGGACGTATTATATAATAAACTTTAATAAACAATCTTATAGCTTATATCTTCAATTACTATTTAGATCTTTCGTAAGAATATATCATAATTCAACTAGATATTATACCAAAGTCTAGAAGTTGTAGTATTTTTTAATACTAGTATATTTTCTCGCTACTTTATTCAATTATCAAATACCTTACCTGGGTTTAGAATCCAACTAGCAAGATGTGAGATTAAGCATTAGCCTATAGTTTTGGACAAAGACTTATTGAGGATCTAACGTCTCCTTAAGCGCTTTAATTACTCCGATTGTTTCGGGACCGAGCTCCTTATAAAGAGAAGCCTGACCAGTCTTAGATACCCATCTTGCGGAACACTGCCCAAGTTGCATGACTTACCTTCTTCCCAAGTCCAATTCCATGCTCCCCCGATACAGTCCCCTCCATCTCCAGAGCTCGCATCAACATCGAATCAACGCAGTCAGAAACCGCTTTCCGCTGCCGTGGATCATCTGGTTCATACATGACCATTTGGTGAAATTTTCTATCGCCCACATGGCCTAGCACGCTGCTATATAAACCAAGCTTGCTAGCATTGTCTTTGGATATCTCTGCGGTCTAATTAGCAGTGCCACCCCGGTAGAGTCTATGAAGGAAATTCCATACCGATTAGCTCTGCCATGCGAGAGAGGGGAGCACCAATGTCAGTAGACCATATCTGGGTTCCTTCCGGCCGAACAGCGAGATTTGCCCAAAGAGCTTGCTTCCTTGCAGACCGCAAAGACTGCCTTTCTTCGTCAGTATTGGCTGACTCAAACGCATGGCAGTCGTTAGACTTTGCAATATCTTGGGCTAGTTTTAAACTGTCTTTGACATTTGTCTCTGAGCCAGAAAACCTAAAACCGTTAATTATTGGGGTACGCTGCTGCAACACGAGACTTCTGATGTACTTGAGGAACAAGGTCGGCAATTCCTCCCAGGTCCTTCCTCCGGTCCCCCCACTGCTATTAATCACTTCCATCTGTACATTATCTATCAATTCCAGTGCAGCGAGAGGAACACCATGGCGTATCATCTTGAAAGCGGCCTTGGCTGCCTGCTTGATAGTGGGGAATGTAGCCGTCGCCACACTGAAGCTATCTGGAATAATGGCCAACTTGAGGGTTGCTTCAGTAATGATCCCTAGAGTACCCTCAGAACCTACGAATAAACCCGTCAGATTGTACCCAGCGGACATCTTGCGAGGCCGGTGTCGCGTTTTGATAATTGACCCATCCGCTAGCACGACGGTAACATTAATCACGTAGTCCTTCATAGTTCCGTATCTCATAGCGTTTGTTCCGCTACAGTTGGTCGCAATCATGCCACCAACTAGAGTGGTTGGGCTAGAATCCAAAGGTAGGAAGAGTCCGGAGCTCTCGATCTCTTCATTCATAATTGTCCAGTTGACACCAGCCTGAACCACAATATCCATATCATCAGGGTGGAAGGCAACAATATTATTCATGTCGGATAAATCGAGACAAACGCCTGAGAAGGGAGAGCTGAAGTGCCCTTCGACACTTGATCCAGCACCGTATGGAACTATCGGAACTCTATAGCGAGAACATATCCGAGCAACATCTGAGACCTGTTTGGTGGATTTTGGTCTAACAATTGCTGCCGGACGAACGTCGGTGTTGGATGTAGACCACTCTGAGTAGCCATGCTCATCGATATCATGCTCGTTAACACTGACAGCATCCTGTCCCAGTATCTGTCTGATCTCATCGACAGCCTGCTTTTTGTCAGACCAAATGTGATTGTGTAAGTAAAATTGCACACGCACACCTTCAGCATTGTGGCTTTGTCCGCATATTTCACAGCTCGGTGGCCAACATTTCTTCTCCATCGTGGATTAGGGTCTAGGGGCTGTTCCCGCACCAGCCCGAGCGACACAACCGAGGCAGTAACTATACCACCTATGAGAGTTCCCACGGCGATGTAGGTGGAAGGCTTCAGCTTTTTATTCGCGTAGGAAGCGGAAAACCACCGTAATTGAGGAGCGTGCTTGTGTTTCACGACTTGAGCCAATTGCGGCCGTGGCATGGCACGCAATAAAGTCCATGACTTTAACATAATTATCGTCTCGAATTGGGAGGGGCGTGGATTTACCAGTCGCAACTATAGGTAGTATAATAAAGACTCTTAAAGAGATAGAGGAATTAGAAAAGTTATTATATAGTATCTTCTTTATTAAAGATAAGGGTTTATATAGGGTTTATAGAATATAAGTTAAAGATTATATATAAATTATATATCTAAGAATCTAGATACCCTATAGTACTAAGTTAAGCTTAAGAAGAATATTTTAGTATAGGAAAAGAAAGGTTTTCCTTAATAAGATACTATAACTTAGTAGTATAAGCTAAATACAGAAGAGAAAAAGAGGATATTAAAGATATTAGAGGGTATAAGTCTATAGAAGGACCAATAAGTATTAATCCTTATTATTTTGTTCAATTATATAAGACTGGGAAAGCTGCTAACTAAGGGTCAGTATAGGCTGTATATAATAATAAGAACTTATATAACCTAGAAGAGCAGATTATTAAGATATATTATACTAATAACAGGCTCTATAGATATAGTCTAGAGGGATAGTACTCTACCTTTATCTTATTTCTATATTTATTATAATTTACCTCCTTATTAACCCTTTATTAATTTCTAGTTATACTTATCTTATATAAATATTATACTTTTTTACTTAAGTTATAATAAGAATCTTAAGCTCTATTTTAATAAGATTATATCTAAGATAGACCCTTAGTCTGATACTAAAAGATATAAATATATTTCTTTATTAAGCTATAATATTATTCTATCTCTTTAGTCTATACTTTAGAGTATTTTAATCTTATATTTTCTCTAAATAGTAGATTATATAGATAGATATACTAAGAGTTATACTTATAGGGAAATAATATCTATAGAAATAGATATCTTTAGAGTCTAGTAGAATATTATAAGAAAGACTAAATCTAATAGTAGAATATTAGTAGAGAGTTTTATTAATAACTAAGTTTAAGTAGAATAGATTCTTAACTATATTATAAATAGGAACTATAATATTAATAGAAAATACTATATCTATTTTCTCTTATAGTTTTAATAGAATATAAAAGTTAGCTATTAAATAATTTATTATTATATAGAATATATTATTTATTATATTACTATTAGTAATTAGTAGGATAAATACTTTAGCTATAAGCTCTTTAAATCTAAAAGTATTTTCTTTACTATTACTTTCTTTCTATAAAAGTAAAAAAAGATTTTAATAATTTTCTAATTACTTTAAACTTTCTTAGTAGTTTTTAATATAAGTAATTATAATATTAGTAAAGTTCTTAATACTTTCTAAACTCTTATAGAAATATAGATTAGGAATATACTAAATATAAGATTTAAGCTTAAAAATAGTATTAAGAATTATTATAATTTTATTTCTATAGCTAAGATATTTAACTACTAGGAGAAATATTAATAGTTTTTTATAAATTATATATAATTTAGTAAGATTAACTCTAGTTTAAAATATACTAAATAGTAATCTAAAAATAATATTACTAATTATATTAAAAATAAAGAAATTATAAAATCTTATTAAAAAGATATTTTATAATAATTATTCTATTATCTTACTTAATCTAATATTTATAATTAAGATTAGTATAACTATCTCTTTTAACTTTATTCTTAATAATACTATTTTACTTTTTAATTAAAACTTAAGATTCTAAGTAAAATAAAGCTCTATTTAATAGATTAATCTAGAAGTAAAAATATAAACTATAATATATTTTTTATAAGAATACTAAGCTTAGTTCTATATATTAAATATACTATAGCTAATTAATTAGAAAGTATTATACTAAGCTCTAGAAGTATATTAATTATAATAAATTAATTATTAAAAAAGAGTTTTAGTATATTATATATAATTTTAATAAGTTACTACTATAGTTATAAATAAGATTAATTATCTTATTATTAATAATATTTATATAGTTTAGCTAAATATAGATAATAGAGCTAAGATAATAGTATAGAATATTAATATACTTAGATTATTTATCTTTATAGCTAATAAATATAAACTAAAGACTTATAAATTAAGCTAGAAAGAGTATTAGAATATCTTTTAGATAATAATAAATCTAGAAATAGAGAATAATTATATAGTAGATAGATAAGAAGATAATTCTAATAATTAGAAGAACCTAGGGTAAAAGAATTAGAATAATTACTATTTTAATATATTTAAAAGCTTAGAATTAAAGAATTAGTAGTATAAAATTAAGTAGGTTTAGTTTTATTACCTATAAATCTATCTATATAGTAAAATCTATTCTATATAATAATATTATTAGAAGTTATTAAATACTTAGATATATAACCTAGTTAGAATTTATATATAATAATAGTAATTAATATTCTACCTCTACCCAGATTACTTATATTAATCTTAACCTTAGTATATTATATTAGTCTAAAGTATAAAAAAATAAGAGTATATTTTTAAAATTAAAGAATTTATAGATCTATAAACTAGCTGCTAGGGTTATATCTATAAAATCAGAGTAGATATATATCTATATATCTAGTTATAAATACTATATACTTACTATACTATATTACTATCTCTATATTAATTAATTATATCTATCTAAACTATTCTTTCTAAATAATCTATAATTAGAATCTATCTTATTATTCTCTATTCTAATATATATTCTATACTATCTTTACTATTAGTAATATCTATCCTACTAATTACTAATTACTATCTTATAATTATTAGCTCTTCTAGATCTAATATAGAGATATTAAGTATTTTAATAACTATCTAAGTAGTAGTAATATATCTATTAAGAAAGAGAAATATTTCTAATCTAAGAAGCTTAACTAGCTAAACTTAATTAGAACTTAGTACTATAGCTAGTAGTAATAAAGTAAACTAGAGAGATAATATTCTTATATCTAGAGAATATCTAAACTCTTCTAATTTAAATCTAGATTCTCTTTTAGATAGTAGATATAATTAGATTATTATTTTTATCTACTTTATTTATATTTTCTAACTTAATATCTAAACTAGATTATAGAATATACTCTAAGTTATACTCCTTAAATAGATATTATAATACTTCTTCTTAAGTACTATATTCTTTATAGGATTTTTTAATCTTACTTTAGAAACTAATCTAGATATTCTTACTATAATACTTATATATTATATTAGTATTTATAATATTAATTTATTTAGTATTACTATCTATAGTATAAGTAATATTATAAATATAGAGATAATTTATAATATAAAGGGTTTATTTATTATAAGTAGTATTTTATATAGATTAGAAAATAACTATATATATATTATATTTAATATTCTATTTATTTAGTAGTTTAATAAAAGACTTAGAATAGCTAATAGTATTATTAAACTTAGTAGGGGAATAAATACTACTATTATAGCTATTATAGCTAGTATACTAACTAAAAAAATTAGTATTATCTAGATATTTAGAATTTTTAAACTAGTATTACTAAATATAGATATTCCTATAGCTTTTCTAATTAAGAAATACTAAATAGCTTTATAAAACTATAATTTCTAACTATTTATCTTTAAAGAGCTATTCTTCTTATTTATTTTTAGAATAGATATTATTAATATATTTATCTTATATATACTATCTTTCTTTCTCTCTTATATAACTAATACCCTTAGGTTTAATAATATAATTTTAATAGATATAGTTATATACTTTAATACTTATATAACTATTAGCTATCTTATATTAAATATTATCTATAATAAGCTTAGAACTATAAATTTAATATTCTTAACTATAGTACTTAATATAATTACTTTTTTTATAGTATAATCTATCTCTTATAATCTTACTACTCTATTAGTATTTACTATTATTAATAATATTATTAATTACTATATAAACTATATTTAGTCTTTATTAGTATATAGTAATTTTATAATTAGCTATTATAATTTTCTTTAAATAATCTATAATAGTATTAGATTAACTAACCTACTATATTCCAGATACTATTATATTAATCTTATTTAATTTAACTTTTCTATCTAATAAACTTTTTAATAATTTAATTTAATTTTCTTCTATTTAATATTACTAATTAAAATAGATATTAAACTTAAAAAGCTATTTTAGTTCAGATTAATTTAATTTAGTATATTATCTACTAGAACTATATATAGTAACTTAGATTATAATAGTAATTAAGTACTAGAAGAATATTATTATAGTTCTCTATAAGTATATTAATAATCAGATCTATCTCTATATTATTACTAGCTATAAGAAGATAGAGTAATAGTTCTAGTAGGTATAACTACTAGGCTTATATAAGAGAGAGTAGCTTTATTACTATAAATAAACCTATAATAGATTATAGACTTAAATAATTAATATCTAAAAAGAGATTCTAATAGTTCTTATTAATAATAACTATTATATATATAAGGATCTAGTTACTTATAATAATCAGGCCTTAGCTATAGGGGATAATAATATTAGAGGTATCTATTATTATAATTATAAGAAGAGATAGTTAGTAATAGTAATAATAAGCTTAGAGAGATATTATAGTTAATTATAGATAATAAGTATTCCCTTTTAGGGTCTATAGCTAAGTTATATACTTAGTAAGCTCTTTTTAGAGTTTTTAGAGATATTATTATCTTATCTTAGCTTATATAAATAAAAAAGTAAAAAAAATAGAGTTAAAGATTAAATATAGATTAAAACTTAGTTAAAAATAAATTATATAGAGCTAGTTATATATAGCCTAATCTTAGGATATTTCTTATATATAGTAAAAACCTCTAAAAAAAAAAAATAATAATAATATTACTAATAGTACTTTCTTTATTATAATACTAATAGCTATAAATAAATTACTAGGGAAAAACT